CAGGAGGGTCAGCATGGCCCTCCAGGGTGACAGGGGGAGTTCCCCACTTCCCTCAGATTCAGCCCAGACCACTGCAAATTCTGGGCCGAGGATGTCCCAGAAGGTCTGGTGAGCCCACCGGCCACCCGTTGATCACCCGTCATGAGCCCACCGGCTACCCGCTGTTCAGCCCACTGGCCACCCATCGGTCAGCCCATCGGTCCATGGTCAGCCCATCAATGCCCGACACCTTGTTGCCAGGCATCAGGTGGAGAGTGGCTGAAAACTCAGCCAGAGTGAAAGGAGCCTCTAGCCAGTCCTGGTCACCCACGCTGACCTGTGGGAGTCCCTCCCACAGCGTCTGACAGGCTTCAGTGTCGGTTGGATCCAGGGAAAAGAGCTCTTCATAGAAGGTCTGTGTGCACTGGTGCATCTCCCCTGGATCTGTGCGATGGGTGCCATCACCTGCCAGAAGGCAGATGATATACTTATTAGCCCCTCACTTTCCTTCCAGGGCATAGTAGAAGTGGGAGCCATGGTCCATCTCCCAAAGGAGCTGGATGCATGAGTGGACAAATGCACTATGGGCTCGGTGGTCTTCCAGAGCATGAAGCTCTTCCCACCTCTCCCGACACTCTCCACAGAGGGACGGATTGATTGGGTTGGTGGCCAGGCACCTCTCCAGCTGTAGCACTTCCTACTCGAGTTGATCCTAGATTGCCTCCCTGTGCCGGGTGTGCCCCCAAGTGTAGCTGCAGAAAAAAAGACAGATGCGCACCTTTCCCACATCCTACCATCTCTGAGCGAAGGGGAAAGTTGCCCATTTCTCTCACCAGGCCAGCCAGAACTCCCAGAAGGTCTCCCTGAATCCCACTTCTTCAGCCAGTAGGCCGGCCTTGGATGCCCAGGCCCTAGTGTGGCCTGGGCCCAGACAAGGTGGTGATCACTGAAAGGGGTTGGCCGGATGCCAGAGGAGTGGGCCTGAGCAAAGTGCAGCGAAGAGATATAAACCTGGTCCAACCAGGAGAGGTATGCCTGCTCCTCCCCCACCCTCACATAGGTGAAGGCAGGAGGTTGGTACGATAACAGGCATGCCAGACATCCACCAGGCAGTAGTTCAAAAGGATCTCCCTGAGGACACCCATGGTGGCCTGGTTCCGCTCCTTGCCCGATCGGTCTCATGTGTCACATTAAAATCCCAACAAAGAACCAGGCACTTGTGAGGATTGTGGGTGCCGATGTAAGTGGCCACTTGGTGGAAAAAATCCACCAACTCCGAGTCTCTCATAGGGGAGTACACATTCAGAAGGTTCAAGACCAGCCCCTACACTTGGACCCAGAGGTGCAGCAGGCCCGGCATCACCTCAGTGTCTTGGAGAACCTCTGGCTGCAGGCCTGGGGAGAACAGGGTTGCCACACCACAAGAGGTGGCCAAGAGATGACTAAAAAAGACCCTGCCTCCCCACTCCAGCCACCAATTAGGCTCATTGGCCAGAGTCATCAGGGTCTCCTTCAATAATACCACTGGGTACCCCCACTCCTGAAGCAAGGAGAGCACCCAGCATCTCCGGAAACCCTTCCTGCAACCATGGACTTTGAGGGCTGCAATCTTAAATGACCTCACAGCCCATGACCTCATGGTGGGGGGCGGTGGAGTAGATGGTCTAGCAGAGGCATTGTGCATCTCAATGCCCAGTGTGGGGCTGCCAGCTTGCACAGCACCCTCTCATAAGTATAGAGGGTGTCTGCAAAACTGCAGGCCTGCCTATAGATCTGGGCATGGCAGCTTTTTGACCCCTTGCCTTCCCCTGCCAGCACCCCCTCAGTGGCAAGGATGCTGTCAAAATCTCCCCAGCAGTCCAATGCAAGCTGTATCTTGCTGGCAGACTGGCGGGTGCAGCTGCAGTCAATAAATAAAAGTAGCTCACCTCTGAGGACCATGGGGACTGAGAGGTATGCAGGCTCTATGGAGGAGGTTGACCAGGAGGTCCCAGGACTTGATAGGGCTGCGGATGGGGCCACCAAAAACAAAAAGGTGGAGGGTGAAGTTCAACCAGAACCTCAGGAGGAGGTTGTAGAGGTGGAGGTGGAGGGGCTGCTGCCTGGTGCTCAAGTGTCATTTGCAGCAGGGTCTCCGTCTGCCCGCAGAAGAAGCAGGAGACCAGAGTGTCCATGCAGCTCACCACATACACGCCTGTGGCAATGGCTCCATGGAGGAGCCACCAGCTAAGGTCCCCAGTGGCTCATGGGATAAGGGTGGAGTACAGGCTCAGCCGCTGGGGTCCCGGCTGAAATTTGTGCTGCTCCTATTGGAGCTGCTGCAAGCTCACATGCCTGCATGTGTGGATGTGCTCTGAGATTCAAGTTTCTTGATAATCTTCAGACATGGTTAAACTACTGACTCTGCCCAAGAGTGATTTCACCTGAATCTTTTCATGAAGAGGTCATATTTAATAAAATTAATTGAATGAAAGGCTTTTTTATTTGGTCTTTTTCAGCACTGTGTTATGATGCTATAATGGTATTGATATAGTTGCCTTTGTTAAATGAATAAATAAGTTCTGATTAACCCCTACCCCACTTCCAGTAAGAAGTGAGTGTTAGGCAGAAGAAAATGTAGAAATAGGAAGCAGAATTCACAACAGATTATGGGCCAAGTAGCAGCTGATGAACGTTAAAGCTGTTGCATTGAACTCAATAAGCAGAGAACTTGACCCAAAACATTTGGAAAAGGTAAGAATACTTGTTCAAGCTGTATTAAAATGAGTATAGCTCAAAAGCTGGAAAAAAAAAACACATATACTTTAGGAAAAGGGATAAAACAACTGTGTTATTAAATGCTCGCTCAAATGATTAACTGGATTGAGACATTGCTACTGTAAGGAGGGAAACAAAAAGCAGAAAGTAAAGGTTTGACAAAAGTAGAGAGAAGGAATGGGAAAAGAGTATCTTTAAGGCATGGATAAAAGGGAAGTAAAAGAGATAGTTGGATGAGAGAGAAGATGGGAAAGGACTATAAGAAAGTGAGGAATGACAGGGGAGAAAAAAAGATGCTGGGTGAGGAACAAGAAGGACAGGACTAAAAAGTGCCTGTAAGCAAGTGTAAGTGTAGTGAAATCAGTAAAAATTGTGTCAGTTTCTGCCAGTCTTAAATTTAATCATAGAACTTTCAGGGACTGTAAGGTAGATCAAAGCCTAGATGGCCTGCTTTCTTTATGTTAATGTCTTCTAGTGTTATATTTGCCTGCCTTTACTCCGCAGAATATGGACACCAGGAGAGGCAAGATGAACTGTGAGCAAGAAACCTTTGCTGATTTCTCAGCTGAATGCCACATACTGTTTTGATCTTGGACAATTGATTCATAACTAGATATTTCAAAGGTATTTAGGCACCTGGTGCATTTTTAAAAAGTGCTTCACAACCTAACTCACTTTGACAGTTACCTTACCTGCCCTTATAACTCTTTGAGAGTTCAAAGCTGAGAAAATACTTCAAATATAAAAAAGGACAAGAAATTACAGTGATAGAATATTATATATAGTAGGAACTGAAGTGAGCATTGACAGTGGAAAATGAAAATAAAATTTAGAAGCTTTTCTTTGCCTCAGGAAATTAAGAGCCCTATAGTGTTCCCACTTTCATGAGTGATTTTTGGAAAGCAAGACAATCAATGATGTTTCAGCTACTATTCTGGATTTTTTTTTCTCTCCAAACATCTATTTCATAGTTGTCAGTGTTGTCATCATGAACCAGATAATTTCCAAAAAAAACAAAGAAATTTCAGTAGTCTTTATCAGTTCACCTATTCGTATACACCAGTGATTTATGGCACTTGTGTATCTAGGAGAGTTCTGTTCCTGGACATGGACAATTATGTGTGATGATGGAGTAGGACAGTGCAACTGTCTGACCAGCTGCCCTATGTTTGCATACCCTTTGTTCATGTGTAGTGACCTTAGACCTCTGAAAATGGAGCTTGCAAAAATGCTACTCTAGGCCCATGACAGTTTTAAGATGCTATTAATAAGTTAATTGCACCATAAATAGTAATGCTGCCACATGTTCAGGGAAGTAATGGCATGACACAATGGGAATCTGACCACAAAACTATTCCACAAAAAATGTGTAACATGTCTATGGCTTGTTTCAATTATACTTTAAATTGAACATGGGACAGGATAGCCCTGCCATGCATGTCAAGACTTCATTGATAGCTCTACCTTGCATGGGATGTTGAATGAAAGGAAGCCTGTCACAGGCATCTTTATCCCAAGTTGCTTTAAAAGAGCAGGAGAGCAGCATGATAGGATTATAATTTGCAGGCAGCTGAATCAGGGCTAGATGCTAGAAAGTAGGGAGTTGAAGGAGCACAAAGCTAAGAGCCACAAGGCTACAGATAACTACTTGGGAGGAAGCTGCCCTACAAAGTAGTTAAGAAGAACTTGTACAGCTGGTAGATAGACGGCAGCAGAAGGGTACAGGCTTGCTAATTTACTGAAGGGAAATCCCTGTGCCTGCTGCTGAGGACTAGACAGGTGACTGGAAGGGGTGGGGCCCTAGAGTAGATAAACCCAGATCTAAGGTTAGTAAGCTCAGTCTGGTCCTGATATCTAAAGGAGAGAAGCTTTTCATTGGGTGAGCTGATGCTGAAGGGAAGCTTCAGACCTAGGATGGTACCCTGAAGACAGGGAAGGAGACATTTGATTAGAGATAGGGTTCTTCATAATATACCCAAGTTATGGATTTAGGTTTGAAATGGGGACTGGTTGTTTTATGTTGGTGTTTTTTTGACTGGAGGCTTTGGTGTGGCTACAGGGATGGTTGGGAGCCTGGGAGGCACTCTTTGCTTTGAGCCCTGCTAGGGTCAAGAACTCAATGGTCTGAGGAGGCAGTAGCTAAAGTAGGGTAAATGGTGCCAGATGGGCTGAGGCCAAGATAGAGCCAGGGGCCCAGGAAATCTCACAGACAGGAACAGCCCTCCAAAGGTAAGACCTGCAAAGGTCAGAGATGAAGACCATGCAAGGCCACATGATCTGATAATTAGAGTTAGAGTAAAACCCACAAGGCATGGGTATGGCACTATAGGGTGTACTGGAGGCCATAATTAGTGGTTCTAAGGCACAACTAGGGCCAATATGCCCACAACTAGGTCAGTAGGGCCACAATAAGGGTGAGTGATGCACAGTGAGGCACAAAATGCTTTATTTAAAGGAATTAAGACCTATAACTGAGTAGAGATAGGCTAAGTGCTAGGCTACAAAGTTCATCAGCTAGGCTGGGGTGCCAGGTTGTGGGGCTCACTTATGACCCAGCCCAAGAATGCACATTGCTCTTCAGCTTCAGTGGGAGCTGCAGAGCAAGGCAAATGCTATGCTAGGTTGCGATAAGCAGCAAGGCAGGGCTCTCTATGACCTATCAGGCTGACTTCCTTGCCTAACATCCCCATGGGAGCTGTATATCAAGGCACTTGACACATCCCAGCCATGGGGATCCTGGGATCAAGGAGAAGTTCTCTGATCCTTGGGATCCCTTGCTCCAGGACTCATAAAAATGTGTGTGCAGTTTTAAATCTGGACTGCACATATGTTCCCATGGTCTAAAAGGTCCCAATGGTGGCCCCAAGATTGGGAAACCTTTCTCCAAGCTCAGAAATGCAGTGTATTGGGACCTTATATAAAAATGTGAGTGCAGCTGGGTTGCACACACAGTTTTCTGACATCCTGGTACATGGGTTCCTGAAACCAGCTCCAGTGCAGTCCTCACAGAAGCTAGAGACACTAAGTCAAAGGGAGCCTGGGATCACAATTCCCTGCACTGACAAGTAGTAATGTCATGATTAAGACCCATATGGCATGATATGAAGCACAATTACTGAAGTCAGGGATCAGATCCCATTGTTGCATTAAATGAACACATGCCAGGGTCCTAAAGAATGTAGAAGGGCTGTTTCTTTGTTCATATGCAAGCATATCCATCCCTACTTTGCCCCCATAGCTAAGTGGCTAGGACACTCATCTGGGAAGCTGGAAGTCCTCAGATACCCTCACTCAGAGTGGGGTTGATTATGGGTGTTCCATCATTCTAATCCCCACATCACCATATCATTCATTATTCATTCTCTTCTCCAGCACTCGTTTTGGAAGTTAAGTCACTGATATGGTAATTGGAAAAAAAAATTTGCAGATGGGTGGTATAAGTGAAAATTTCTGCTCTACTGGCAGCAATCTTGGTTAGACCCCAGGGCCCCACTCACTCAGCCACACCCCTCTGGCTTGTTCCTATCCTCCTGACCCAACAGATCTCTCGCATATCTCCCTCAGGGCTGCCCAGGGCAACCATGTCCTGAGAGAAGGGTTAAACTATGCTGCAATGGTCTGGGTTCTATGCTAAACAGTCAAAGATTCCCAGGTCCAAGCCCCCTATGAGTGAAAGGAGCATAGAATCCAAATTCTCTGGTTCTCAGTTAAGTAGCGGTCACTCACATGCTTAGGGGAAAAAGACATGGAGTTTCTTTCTCATCTTCCTGCCAGTCTGTGCCACTATGTAGTTCATTTGCATACAACTAAACATCCAGGAGTACACTTCCTATGGACATATGTGGCCCAAATGCCCTGTAAACAATGAAATATGTTCACTTAGAGGACCAGGAAAGAACAGAATGTTACATTATATATATTTAATTCACTTTATACCTTAGTGTCTAGAAACTATGTCAGCTTGTGGCATCTCATCTTGTAGGCACAGATGATTAACCTAAACCATCTGATAAAAAATATATTGAGCCATTAGGTGCCTAGAAATACAAAACAGGTGTTTATCATGGTATTTAATACCATTTGTATTAAATATTGATTTAATGTGATGCAAGAAAGATATTTCCTTCCTGAAGTCCCCACTCAAGGGTTGTCCATGGTGTCCCATCTGGTATCCACTCATTCTCTTGCATTCCAAAGAGATCTTGGTTTACAAGTGACCCACCCTTTCCCTTGTAGAGGTTATGATCAGTCCCCACAACTTTGTCCTTCTCAGAGCTCCTTGCAATAAAATTCAGCTCATGGGTAACACCCATGACACAATTTTGTCTAGGTTGTCATTATGAGTAGGTAGATTGAGCACTACTGAAGGTCTTATTTTAATCTTTGATTTTTCCTGTTTTCAGCTCATTTTACATCACTGGTTTTCTCCTTGGCTAGAATCCTGATCAGCCAAAATTTCTTATGAAGGATTCTTTTTCAAGGGTTTCCTGAACCGTTTACTTTCACCAGAGGGTAAGAACATGCACTACTTCTTCGCAATTGAAGGTAGGTGAATGAACAATGCTGTCATGCTATAATAAAATAATGTTTGCCATAGTATAATATTGCTGAGTCTAGAAGCCTACAACCATAAAAGATTCAATCTACATGCATGAAAACATTTAAAGATAGATGGGGATGACAGTCAGTCATATCATGTTTCCAGAACAGAGAAGGGCAAACTGGGAGATAGTGAAAGGTATTAATTGAATGTGAACATAAGAATCTACGCTTAATTTTTTTCAATGAATCTGTTGATTGTATCTAATTCACAGTTTTATTCTGTTTCAAAATATAATCAGTGCTTCTCAGCACAGAAACCACTTTTACCCACACCAGTACCTTGAGTCATTTTATTTCTGCCTTCACTTTTTGGGAGGAAGGAGAACTGTGTTTGCCATAAACTGTCTTTTTATTCCTGCTTATCATTAGGGACCTACCTAATTCACAGTGGCAGTTTGTGGCGCCTTTAATGTAGCTTTTTGCTGTGCTTCGCCTCCCCCACCACTGAGTGGCTAAGAGGCAACTAATGCCACAGGTTTTGCCTCTCAGCCCCACAGAAGTGGGAGGGAGAGGGGGCAAGGCGAAAAGAGCAAGAGTAAAGGTGTTGCTGTACCATGAACTTCTGTCACACTTTGGGTAGGTCCCTCCTTATGGTTTGAGGCATGCATTCCCTCTGCAAGAATTCATGGACCCATAAACCCAATGGACTTGGGAATGCAAAACATCAGCTGTAGTTAATTGGTTAACTGGGGAAACTTGTAAGTGATTACTCATATTAATTGGCAAAAATTGTTACACAGGAGAGAGAGTTTGTTGACTGAAGCAGTAGATTGCCCAATCTTATTGCCTGCTACTGACATGAGATCTACCCAAGATGGGAATGTATTAAACTACATTATGTTCAATTATACAAAATATTCTGTCCTAATCCAGGAAGGGCTTAAACCCAATAACATAGCAGAAACACCTAGAATGCAAATAATAATGTGACAAAACCAGCCCAGCTCTTCATATGACTGAAGCACTGATCAAATTATTTTCTGTAATGTTTTGGTGACATGAAATACAGCATGTGCATTGTTTGTGCTATGTGGGTTCTCGTTGTATTCTGCATTTCTATTTAGGGTCAACCTTAAAACAGTCTGTTGCAGAGCACCTCGGTGCTCTGCTCCTAGAGGGGGAGAAACTACCAGGGAGAGAGACAGAGCCCTGGCAGGTCATAACGAGCCCAGCGGAGTGTCGCCAGGGTAACAAGCCCAGCTGCAGGTTGCCGGGGCAGCTAAGGGGAACCAGCTGCCTGTAGGAGGCAGGGCCTGGCCCTTATAAAGCCCAGGGCTAAGACCAGGCAGCAACCGGAGAGGCAGGAGCTCCCTCGGCCGAGATATAGCAAGAAGCCTGACTTGCAAGTACAGCTCACTATAGCCCTGAGAGGATTGGGCACTATGGTTTAGCCAGGAGGCTCTAGTTTATGTTCAGGCTTGCATATTAGACCGGAGGCTTGGGTGAGGCTGTAGGGGTTGGAGGAGGCCTCATAGGGACCCCAGAGGTGTGGGGCCCCTGAGCGCAACCAGTGGGTTGCGGGCGGGGAACAGACCCCGGGTTGTATACGGGGTACATAGACCCCAGCCCCAGAGTGGGGCAGTACTGAGAAGCCCGAGGCGGGCACGGCAAGCCCCAAAGAGGGGGAGCGCCGTATCGGTTTATTGAGAAGCCCGAGGCGGGCACGGCGAGCCCCAAAGAGGGGGAGTGCCATATTACCCCAGAGGGGGCATGACGAGCCCCAGAAGAGGGCACTAGCGCAACCAGTGGGTTGCAGGCGGGGAACAGACCCCGGGTTGTAT